GATCCATATCCATGCCGAGTCCCCGGGTACAAAGTCCAAACCAGGCAAGAACTGCAAGGCTGAGTTGCTTAGCCGGAATCATTTTTGAATGGATGTTGAGGTATTGAAGTGAATGGAGCAATTTCAAATGGCAAATGGAAAGACTTAAGCCCAAACAGAGGCTAAATTTTTGTCACTGGGTGACTTGTTATGGTCGTGTTTAGACAACTGAAAAAAGAAAACTAGACAGAAAAACTGACAGCCTATATATATAGCGTTTATTAGGGAGAACAAATGAAATACCTGAAAAGGCTAACGTAATATAGGGTTATTTTAAAATATTTCCTATTAATAGCCTAGGTGCCCATAGGACTATGCCGCAGGGTTCGCGAGAAGAGGATGTACATAGCCCCATCATAAAACGAACTAATTATACCTCTAGATAGCATTTACTTAACTACGAAGGAACAGAATTTGTAAAAATACACTATGGCGCAACAGCTTCGCATGATAGTAATACTGTCTGAATACCCTTGAACCCGATTCCTAATATGTCGTCCTATCAACTAACGGCTAAAACGGGTCGCAAGGTCTCTGAGCATGGCACCAGACTCGCTACTTAGCTAACCAAAACGTTTGGATTCGCTTGTACCCATCCACGCCAAGCATGGCCTTCTATTGCAATCTCGCATATGCGCCGTTAAGTACATACCCAAAAGTGACCATACCTTGCACCTTCAGCTTTCAACCCTTCCTCTCCCTGGACATGATATCTTTCAGCACATCTTCATCGTCAAGCTCGCCTTCTTGTGCCACGGACGGTCCTGACTTTTGTCTCTGGTAGAAATGCCACTCAAACTCGGCAGGATAGAAGCCACCGTATTCCCAGTCAATAATGGCGTTGATTTTCAGTGTATCTGGATCAACAATGATATTGTTCGCTGATAGGTCATTGTGGCAAAAGACAAGGTCCCCAGGCTCTCGATCCTGCATCCTCCAAGGCCTTCCATCTGAATGTCGCATGATTCTATATGGCGGCAAGACCTATCGCCTATCAGCATCCATAGTATGACGTTTATTGGGAAAGGCCTGTATACCACACCGCCAGGTCCTCCCCAAACATTGGATTTTAATTCCTTTAGGGTTTCCACATGACCTTGAAGCTCCTTTGTAACAATATCCTTCTTTTCAGTGTCCAGATCATTCATATTGACACCCTCAATATACTCAGTAATAAGGTAGGCAGCACCATCGTCCTCGATGCACGCGTAGAGCTTCGGCAGTGGGATATTGGTGTTTGCAGCGAGGAATTGGAGACAAGCGCCTTCGTTCAAGATGCGCTCAGTTCCGAATCGCGGTACGTACATATAGCCATTGTGTTTCTGCCATTCGGATGGTCGCAGGCTTCGCTTGATAAAGGTCCCCCCGACTCGATAATATTTCCGATCGGAGGTTACTGCAAAGCAGTGTTGCTCCCGCTTCGCATTCAGTTCTGAATTGGTTGGTGGTGGCATGCTCACTAGTTTCCTGGGGCTCCAAGAATTGATAGAAAAACGATGATGAGGGGATGGAGGAGGAAGGGGGATAAATGCGAATGGATTTGAGGCTCAATAGTTCAAATGTTGGTTGCGGCCCAGCACTGCCCTGTGGGTCCCACGAGATATGGAGCTGGTCAGGTGCAACGAACACCACTTGGGCCTACTTATTTTTCCTTACGCGTTGGTTGATACGATTGTACAATTGCAAGGCTTGGCGTCTCGTTCAATAATCTGAAAACCAGCCTTTCGTGGAGAACTAACTGTTAGTACTTGCTACTACTAGGCGTTTCTTGGGCCCATGCGCCATCATACGGCTCAAGTGACTGACCGCTAAATGCCTGGATAGTGCAGATGCAAAGCCCAACATATTGTTCCAACACCACTTGGATTCAGGCCTGGATTCTTGTTGGGTGTGTTCTCTCCGTATTTGCCTCCCAAGAGCGGCACAGATAGAATTCCAAAGCTACGTGGTTGTCCTCATCGCCCCCGTATGACCAACATATAGTATTAAGGCGGTTTTATTTACAACCTACTAGGAAAAAGGTGTACCAGGCCGATTTATTGTGTGGCTGCCTGATACTGGCTGCGTATATATATTGTGACGCTTCTCCTCATGCTACAAATCCTCAATCTCATATCCGTCAACCTTTATTATATTATTCATCTCCCAAGCCAGTTTCACACAAACTTAAGCCTACGAATCCAACGAATATTACGCAAGAACGTTCATCCCATCATGCCTTCCGAAGTTGTCATTTGCCCCAAGTGCAAGACCTCGATCTCGAGCACCCAAGCGTGCCCATTCTGTTAGGAACTGTGAGTTTGGAAGCTGCCTTCTGAGAACCAAACAAGACTAACATCTATTTTAAAGAATTTAATTCAGAATGATGGAGGCGCCTTAGCAAATGGCCCTTATTGGTCATCGCCACCGATCACTGGATATATTTTCTCTTATAGTGGACAAGACGCGTCACTAGTATTAAACAAATGAGATGGAGAGACAAGAAGGGGCACAAGCGGATGGAAGATTTTACTTGCGACTGTGATGTGAATCAGTACATCAGGACAGAAATTTCTTTTTAGTAATTATCATACGGAACGGTCCTGGCCAGACCGGCAGTCACTCTCTTGGTGAGGATTTCCTTTGTTCAGTAGATAGCTTAGGCAGATATGTCAAACAATAAACTTGGTATACCAACCAACCCCTTGTGCTGGACCATCAAAAAATCGTGCACTAGTAATGGAAGGAACTCAAGCCACAAAGCGACCGTTTGATACCAGCCCAAGGATCAAACTAAAGGGGACCGATGTGAAGACAACATGAGTAAGTGAAGCGGCCCAGTTGGCCTCAGCCGACCTCAGTCCAGCTCAGTTCTAGCTCAGTCTAGGCTTAGCCATCGCTCAGATTGTATAATTATTGATCAGTTTCAAGAATGGGAGTAGCCTTTGGTGAGATTATTTTATAGGATAGTGTTTAGCTGTAACAATACGCCGAAATGTAGAATTTCCTACATTCTGGATGGACCCACGGTTAGGTAGTTTGGAACAGGAAGTAAACCATTTCTATTTATAGGTAGCCTCGACTGCGGTGGTAAGAGTCACTAGGTTGAGCAAGGGTCGCGTTAAACTACTGAAACCACTGACGTGAGATGTGGGCATTGACATCGTGGTGACTTATGAAACATGCCGTTGTCCCGACTGTACGCTCTAGGCATTCAATTCAAGCTGTGATTATGATGTTTAGTAGTTAATTAATAAGCTGCTGTGTTATGTGTCCCGAGAAACTGGCCTGTCATTCGCCCTCACATGGCAGCTCTCAAGAATGGCTTATCAACGCGATTGTAAAAGAAAAAGAAAGGGAAGGAGAGAGAGATAAAGAATATTCTATGGCGCCCACACCGCATTCTGCTTCACTTTGTCCAACAATCGCTGTGTTTCCAGTGAATCCTCAATACTTGCATATGAACTCTTCTTGCCCTGGGCAAAGGCTTCATAGAGCCTCAGAATGTTGATTCCAGGCGCGGCAATGCTCCCAAAGTACTCTCCCTCTTCCGAGTGAAAGTCGATCTCCTCTGTCCCTGCTGCCCACTTCTTGAGAGTCATCTTTCCTCCGGTGATTCCCATGTGGAAGAACCCTGGATCACCGGTGTATACCAGCTCCCCTTCAGTGCCGGAGATGATCCAGCGGGAGCCTACCCCATCGGCCGGACACTTGTTGGTGCGTAATTGGAAAGACGCTGTAGCCCCTCCTTTAAGTACACCTTGAACGAGTATGATGTCAGGTGATGTAATTTGATACGAAGGGTCTACAACGTTGCCCTTGGCATCAAGAAGCCGAGTTGTCTTCTCCTTCGTCTTGAATGTGCTCTGGACGGTGGAAAATGTACCCAAAACAGAGATAAACGCATCGATTTCTGCAAATCACGTCAATAATACAATTATTGCAAGATCCTCTTTAATGATTCAACTTACGATGCCCGAAGACAATATTGAGACGGCTGATTCCGGAGTCAAGGTCCAGGGCCCCAGATTGTGCCTTTGGCCAGCCTTGAGAGGCATCAAGTGAAGTGTGGCCAATAAATGTACTGTAAACGACGTCCCCGATCACCCTGCTCTCAACAAGCTCACGAAGCATCGCCACTGCTGGGTCGCAACGGCCTTGGGATCCGATAATAGTTTTCACGCCTCTGCTCCTGGCTAGCTCTGCAAGCTCGGAAGTCTGAGTAACCGAAGGAGTGGCAGGGAATTCTATAAAAAGGTCCTTATTGTACTGCAAGAGGGTCTTGGCCAATGTGTAGTGTTTGTCGAGGTGCACGACAACCGCCACAAGATCAACATTTGGGTCGCTGGCGATGCCCTCCATGGATCCATATGCTTTCACGGTAGAGGGAAGACCATGATTGGCAATTGACTTTAGAGCTGACTCTTCAGTGGAATTACAGACGGCGACGAGCTCGAGGTGGGGGGACTTGACTATGGCATTCAGGTGTTGGATGCCCCATTCACCAGAATTAAACGGCCCAGTACTGACTGGGCCAAGGCCAACAAGGCCTACTCGGAGGGGAGCCATTGTCAATTGATTTGCTCCAAAGTTAATTATACGAAATAGTTGAACAGATTGATTGATTTCTGGTAGACTTTATCTATCCTCACCAGGGCGTGATATACCAACCTGGTGAATGCGTGCGCATCCATCTGTCTCGATTTCAAGATCCAGCATCTTTAACCCCTCACCTGGGCTGGTTACATTGTTGATCTTCCTTGAAACGATCTGTTACGGGATGATGGAGCTCTAACTCCGATGGGTTTGAGATGGGTGGCCGTGGTTGGCTTAGATGTCCGATCCTTGCTTGAGACCCGCTCGAACTCCGCGACTATGCTTTAACAACCTGCTCACCCCGTCCACCAAAGCCCATTTGATCAGCCTCGATCTCAATTCTCTCCGAATCTAGTGGCTGGGTTTTCCGGTCTCCGTGTTCAGAAATGCCTATCTCGCGGAAAAAGGCTTGCACAAACTGCCGCTCTTCCAAATCGGGCTGCGATAGGGCGCTTCCTGCCTGTCATCGTTGCACTCAGAAACAACTCCGATGCATCTATGATGGCCGGAAGCGAGACCATTTCTCGCCTCTGGCTAGGCCATTGCTCCCTCGTATCCCAAAGAGCCCCCTACAAGGATCAGCTCCAATCCCATCAAGAAATCCTGAGGGTGACACCTCCGAAAATCCCGCTATCGGCGACCCAGAACCATCATCTGCTCCGTTGAGAACCGCTTTTCCCATTGAGTGGTGGGGGTCAGACGAATTTGGTAATTCTATCGACTCGACAGCAAAAGCAGATCCTGGAAATTCTCTTATTCAACTCGAGCCCCCAATAGGGACGTTTGCATGTAGCACTGCTGGGACCCTTCTATCTAGATTCTCCCTGGATGATGAAACTCCCACTGCATCTGCCTTGGATATAGCTGGCTTGAGCTATTCCACAGCCGATTCTCAGTTAATCTCAACTACACAACGCCCGGATTCCTCCCGAAGGCTTAAACAGCGATACCCTTTAAGAGATTGCTTGCTGGGTGTGGCTGTCTTAGGCCAACTATGTAGCTACCCCAAAATGATGACTGAGGGCTTACAGCTACCTCCGTTCATTAAGGCGCCTTGTCATCAGAATGAAGAGCTCGCCCCCGGTTGTGTGACGACCGGGAGACACCAATGCTTCCCAAAAAGACTCGATGCTTGCGCGGGCCTTGTTCAAATGTACTACTCCAGAACTGATGAGAATGTCGATGCCATATGGAGTATGATCTACGCAGAAGTAGCGAAGCTAGCATCAGAGGTTAGAATAGATTTTCGTCTCCCGAGATTTTGGATTCGGGCCATGACCAGCTTACGAATTTACAGTGTCCATTGTCAAATTCCGAAGAAAAACTGGAAGTCATGCAGTGCCTGACAGTTTTCCTGCTCTTACAGGCCGACGACCCCCAATCATATGAGGCGAATGATATTGAATATCTGCTGACTGTTGCCATTGTATGTGTCCGCTGTATTTCATAACGTGTTCTTTCCCTCTTCTGCCAAATTCTCTTGTGCAGAGACTGCTTATAAGGCATTGAGTCTCTTGCTTTGAGCCATATTTCTAATCCGATGTATTAGGATACGTACTATGACCTCGCATTGACTCAAGAATGGCGTTTTGAGCTCCCCAACGCTAGACCGCTTTACCGAGAATGGATTTTCCGAGAAACTATGAGAAGGTCACTACAGTGTCATGATAAACTATTTTGAACATATTTCTAACGGTATTTGCAGGCTGATGATCATTTACGGTATATTTGATCTGCTTCTCGAAGGCATCGTTGGCACAGATAAGACTGGCTGTAAGGGCGGAAGCGGGCTGAGCAATGCCTCGCTCCCCTGTACTCGGGATTTGTGGGAAGCATCTACAGTTCGAACTTGGGTGGCTTGCTATCAGAGATATATCTCTTCAAGGCAGGGCGGTGTGATGCTTCTCACCCGGCACATTATGGAGTTGAGGCTCACGGATCCCTTTGCAATCCCACTTGGCGACAGCCCAATATCTGAAATGATCCACTGGTGTAAAGGAATGGACACATTGGGAAATTTGATATGGATGGTCCTCCCTTTACAGCAGTATCGAGTACGAGAAGACACGCGTGCAATTTGGTGATAGTATTGTTAAGCCGCAAAGCTATGCAATCTGGGGGCGCATCGTCTCAGAAGACGGTCATACTCGGAACTGCTCTTCAATTGACGAGGAATGACATCCCCGTCGTCGACCATCTTGATAATAACAATTATTACATGAAGCAACCTCTCTTCGTCGGCTATATTAAAGCGTCGGTAGAGCTTGTGGGATGAGAATGCTCGTTCTTTCTGGCTCCGTAAATTTAGATTGAAACACTTCTATACTACATGCTGTTTGTCCTTCGGCCAAAACCCCTTCCGGTGAGGGATATCGAAGTATCAACAATAGGTAAGCGATACTCATTCCTTTGTAGTGAGCTCTTTTACCCAGACAACCGAATGAAGCTCTGAGCTCTCAGCAGCAGCCACCACCATGTTGGTGGTATTCATTTGCACAAGGCTTCGGTTGCCCCTCAGCAGCCTTGCTCTTGCAGCTCACATGGAATGCGGAGAGCTTCACTAGTCCAGGAATCTCCCTCAAGTGGTGAATTGTGGACTTGAACGCTTCTGTCTCACGGAACTTCAGGTGCGCTTCAACGCTGGGCCAAGCAATGAAGGACACAAAGGCAACACCAGACTGAGACTCGTCCCCTCGAACAGGCACATCATTTTCCACACTCCAGCCGCAGCTGATACCCCGCCAATCTGGCGACGCCTTGAGCCCGTCAGCGACGAATTCGCCAACGCGCTTCATGGCCGCGGATCGCGAGTCGGCATCATAGTCAGGTGGGAAATGGGCTATCAGGACCTCGGTCACACGAGACCCTTTGTTGTCTAGTACGTCTTCAGGAGAAAAGGGGTATATGCCCACGAGCTTGCTGAAGTCCTTCGTGGTCGAGTTAGGATTTCTATATGCGCCAATAAGTTTGACGTGAGATGCATACTCCCTATCAAGATTGTTAGAAGATGCTGGGCACAAATGCTAGCGAGAAACTTTTATATGATGGGAATTCTGCGGAGGGAAATGGTGGAAAATACGCACTCGCTCTTGCGATAGTTATTCCGATGCTCTGAGGTCTCCCAGTCGACAAAAAGCCATAGGTTCGCAGGATCTTCAATCTCATGGCTTGTGTAAATGCGTTGCACGCCGGGCTGCTTCAAGGTCTCATCGAGCACACTCGTCAAGGCCTTGCCAGCGTCCGAGGACTCGTCTAGGGCATTTATGCCATCTTGGAGGCGAATGCGAGAGAATTCCGTTACATTCTTTACTGATGCGGCCATTTTTGGGTCTTGAAAGCTTGAAAAGAGAAATCCGAGAATGTCTTTCTAACAGTCTGCGTGTAGCAATGGGTGAGGTGTTGCAATGAGGATGCGGGGATGGAATGCGCGTTGATGGTGGATTCTAGAAGAATCACCAACTTGTATTGACTGATCCCCGCTCGACCGAGGCGCCTGAATCGTGCTTAACCTTCTGTAGCGCGCCAACGCAGTCGATTGAAAATTAAGCGGCGTTCCAGTTCCTTCGCTCCGTGCTCACCCCGCAATCATCGTTTCCCCCCATCCGCAACTGGAGATCGACCCACTGGCTACATGACACTATTCTCATGTCTTAGTCAAGGGAAGTGAACATCATCACGTGGGAGGCGCAACCAGGTGGTCGTCACGATCAATGGACGAGCTTCAAAATGTTAAATCCTAATGTTGCAATTGTAGAATCAATACTGCATAGCTCATCTCAAATGTCATTGAGTCAATTCACTAAGCTACAACAAACTCTCCTGTCGTCGGACCGTGGACACCAAGGGACCTTCTTCCTTCTTTCTTCACCGTCGCTTCTTCTACACGAACGGCACCATATGATTTGAATCAGACTGTTGGTCATGGTTAATACTCATTCTAATTTTAAAATTCGAGCGCCCAGATTGTGAATTTGGCCTACAACTGATTGAGGTTTGCGTACCTTTATTCAAGAGGAAGAGTAAAGACGGCCAGCATACAACTTCGCCCAGTCACTCAGGACGTAAGCGCAGCCGGTTGAGTCTGAAACAGAGACGCCGCTACCAGTGCAGTCGGGAGTAGGATCGGTGAATCCGGCAACTATGGTAAGATAAGTGTCTTCCGTTAGCTGCGAGTTCAAATATTGGAAGCCTTTTTCTTACGACCACCCTGAAAACATAACAGGTGGTAGGCTCGATAACTTTCTAGATGAAACTTACGGACGTAAGACTTGTCGATGTCGCGGTAGGAAGTCCATTTGACGGAACTGAAGCCTGAGTCACCGAACTGAATGCAGTCCTCGCGCGTCAGGACATCAATAGTCTTGATCGCGGCTCCAGTGCAGTGGGCGGTGTTGAAAACCTCAACCTTGCCAATAGGCTCTGCGCGAACAGACTCCAGGGCAGCAGCAGAGACGTAGCTGGTCAAACCCAAAACGGGGACGAGGAGCTTGGGGAAGATCATGGTGTATGATGGTAGTTCAAGTTAAAATGAGACTGAATGTGTTTGATTTTCCTTCTTGATATTCCTTTCTTGATCAATGATTTAACGCCGGGATCATGTCCGGTTTATATAACGACCTAGATTGGTAGAAGAATAAACTAAGACTCAGATTGGTAATTATCCAATGAGCATGATAAATCAAAATTGTACGTACTGCTGTTTTATGCGAGGCGGCCGCCTGATCGAAAGGAAGTTATTCGAAATACATACCATGCCTCGAGGCCTAAGTGAGTTTCCCTTCGTAGTTCAAGAGTTAACCAAGTTGGGCATGTGATTGGCTAGGATACGACGAAGCCGGGGTCAAAAGTCACCTCGGCTGCGACGTTGGACAACTGGCCGAGTCTTACTCAGATCTCACTATTGCCACCTTCCAACTCGAAGCTAGACCACAAAGAGAAGGAATCAGTGTCTCATACATAGAAGTACTAAAACAAGGCTAAACGCAAAAATAAGGAGAGATGTTCGGAAAATAATTGGAGTGCATAACACGTCAAGGTCATAGAAGAACCCTTCAGAACTTGTATTTAGTGATACTAAGAAGATGCATCCTAGCAGACTGCAATATAATCTTCCGTGGTCTGTTGAGAACGGGCTATCTTCCTTACGTTTACCTTATGTTGCAGATCAAAGAGAATCGGCTACAGGGAGCGATGGAAGGTATAACGGCAGGCAAGACGGAATATGCAGGGGAACTGTGCTGGCAGGCGGGTATTATTACCTGTTTCGGTATATTGATGAGTTTATTTCGTAATTTCACGGTGATTTTGGCCAAACTCAGAGTTTAGTCCCCGGTTATGAAACTCAACTGCCGGTTTCTTAAGCTCATTTACTAAAAAGAAAAAGCCGTGGTCTCCCGTCGAGTGTCGAACACCCATGGACATGTTTTCCCGCTTAGTAAGAGCATACTTTGAAACTTCCTTTTAAGTCAACCAACAGTTTTGTTGGATCTTGTTTCAGATAGATTACAATTAAAACAAAAGGCATAGTTGCGAGTGAGACTTACGTACCAATCAATACAAATTTGTTTTCGGGAATTCAAACCGCCAGTTGTTATGCCTCAAGATTCACTCAACATACTACTACACCCCCTTTTACCATTTTATGGGTTGTTCCAATAGACAAGTTATGCTTGGTTTAGACCCCTGGCCCCGCGCGGCATAGCAACTACCGGAACCGTCCGACATGTCAGCACCGAGGTTTGACGCTTCCAGGATATCGTTGTAACTCGGCCTGTTATTCGACCACTCATCCCTGGCAACTTCTTGCTGACGACAACAATGACCCGCCTTCCATTTTCACCTGTGTTCTGTCTTGTGAAAGCAACAAACACTAGATAGCCTTTAAGCCGGACGTGTCAGCACTTGTGGCTCTCTAGCAACCCCGCCGTTATACTCACTGGTTTCGAAACATTAGGACAATCTTGACAATCTTGATATTAGTCATGGCCTTTTGATTGGAGAACTACTCCTGCTCTAGATTCTACTTTCCCGTCAATTCACATGCGTATATGATAGCAATAGCCTAGTATGCTAGTTACCGCAACACTACTACTATGTCTCCTATATCAGCGGATTTGCACTAGCAACCTTCATCTTTGGCAGTGCCCCGAACTCCGCAGTCTCTTGAAACATTTCAAATAGACTCTCCAATGTATCAACAAATCCATTGAAGCCGAACCGCCGCACTTTGTTCATCGACAAGTTAGCGCGTCTAGCGTAGTCAAACTCCGAAATAACCGTCTCCATAGCTGGATCGTCGAATACATTAAGTTTGACCTGACCAGCCGATTGAGCCATGATTTGCTCCCAAGCTACACGGTTCTCAGGTTGCTTGAACCATTCAGAGATGCGGAACTTGATTTTCAGAGCCGTCGGGGGACCATATCCCAGAGGACTATCCTTGCCGCCGGCGAACTCGATGATCTTGAACTTGGATACCCCGTGATCAGCATTAATCACGCCACTCCCTACGCCGTACCAACGAGCCAGCTCGTTGAAGAAGCGGTCCCAAGTGATGGTAGCGCCATCCTGTTGGTTAAAGGCATGATTTTTGCATTTTTCTTCCAACACCGCCCACTCACTTAGATATCCTCCTAGACGGGCAGTGGAATGCGAATACTCAAACTGCCACGATTCGAAGTCCCCCCCAAAGTATAGAGGCTCACCCTTTTGGGCTTGGACGGCAGCGTAGATCGCGAAGGGGTAGAACGCATTGAGAGGAGCACGCTGAGCGACGCCAATAACACCAACGGGAAGAACGACATTCCATCCCGTTTGAGGGTGCTTCTTACAATACTCAAAAAGAAGATCTTCTTGAGAGTAATAAAAGTTTGCCTGGAGATGACGAGGTTTCGGGTCAGATTCTACCAGTGGTGCTCGACAACGGCCGATGTGAAGGCCATAATTCTTCCCGCCCGTCTGTAGTAGAATGCGTTTTGGTTCGAGATTCGCGAGCTCCAAGCTATCAAGAAAGTTCTTAAACATGGGTACATTGATGTCGGCCAACGCATCGGCCATCTTCGTGCTCATGCCCGTGGCACCCGTC